ACACTACACTGAAAACCAGCGCTGTTGCTCCGGCGGCAGCATAAGCTGAGTGAGGTCCGTTTGTATGACGCGCCACAACCTACTCGTACAATATGAGAAACAACTAAACAAGACGCATCACACTACACTGAAAACCAGCGCTGTTGCTCCGGCGGCAGCATAAACTGAGTGAGGTCGGTTTGTATGACGCGCCACAACCTACTCGTACAATATGAGAAACAATTAAACAAGACGCATCACACTACACTGAAAACCAGCGCTGTTGCTCCGGCGGCAGCATAAGCTGAGTGAGGTCCGTTTGTATGACGCGCCACAACCTACTCGTACAATATGAGAAACAATTAAACAAGACGCATCACACTACACTGAAAACCAGCGCTGTTGCTCCGGCGGCAGCATAAGCTGAGTGAGGTCCGTTTGTATGACGCGCCACAACCTACTCGTACAATATGAGAAAAAATTAAACAAGACGCATCACACTACACTGAAAACCAGGGTTGTTGCTCCAGCGACAGCATAAGCTGAGTGAGGTCCGTTTGTATGACGCGCCACAACCTACTCGTACAATATAAGAAACGATTCTTTTTTTGTCTTTCTATTTTTTTTTTATTGTAATCTATAATTATACATACTTTTAAATTATTTTATCCGTCAAATTGTTGTTATGTTTCCTATTTTTGTTTTTGTTTGTTATAATGTTTATAATTGATGTGTCCACAAATGTTAATATTTAAGTGCCTACTGATGTTCGTGCTGCAATAAATCTTTCTTACTTCTACTTTCATCGATAATGTGATGATTCTGATAATTATTTTATTTTATCCTGATGATCCTGATCAGGATACTACGATAAAGTTATTAAGTTATTGCATTGTCATGATTAACTAATACGTGTGCAAATTTTCAAGTCAATCGACCGTATATAAGTTGGTGACAATTACATTAAAATAATCCGTTACATAGATAGATACACGCGAAGCTGATAAAAGCGTGTTAAAAAAAATTGGAATGCTAATAACATTACTAATATTACTGCTATCCTCTCCAATTAAGCTTAAAACGCATGTATTCTGGGTGGTTCACAACAGTAGTCGATTAGCGGATTTGAACCCACGACGTTTGATTTGCGATGCGCCCCTAACGATCCTTGACATACATTTTTAAAAATCTACACACAAGCTGATTCCTAGACAAGATAACTAACATTTAGGCTGCTACTGTTGCCTTTTCGTTGCCATACTGAACATACTTTTGTGGTGTAACTGACTTTCTTTATCGATCTGTTTTCTAATCAATTTTTCAAAACTATAGTTTTAAACCAAAACTATCAATAAACCACACTGTGCTATAAGACGGTTAGAGTAATTTTATAAGCCAGAACGTAGGCCATAAATACTGTAAAATGATACATTTTCATAGATTTCAATTAATTTTTTATAAAAAAAAATTCTTTAAACAATATCATTTTTAAAACCAATATTGATACAATTTTGAAAAACAAACAGTTTCATGTCACTCGGGAATCGTATCAGTGAACGAATTTTCAGATAATTCTAGCGATCAATTAACTCCTATAAATAAGCTTTACTTACTCTTGATCAGGAGTCGGGTTTTTTTTAATAATATTCCGTAATTTTGCTTTTCATATTTTATTCTATAAAAGTTTCACATATTTCTAAGCATACCCAAAGTAGAATGGTGTTTCATTATTTACCAGGCTTTGTGAAACTGTTGTACCAGTATGATATCAAACAAGTATAAATGAGCCGCAATTTATTTTCTTATTTTCTCGAGTGTGGTAGATAAGCGAATCAAATTTAGACCAACGATCGATGTCCCAATTCAATAATATTTTATACCCATAATGATTTCTTTATATTTTTGAAATGTACGTGTCATATTTTTTACCTGTCAGTTGTTATATTTTTGTGGTTATTTTACGTTACGTAACTTCTAAATATTTTAAATATGTAACTCAGCGAACTATTTCGTAGATTATTGTCTCACCTCCTTGCCATGTGGAGACGACGTAAGATAATCCTTCACCTCATTTCGTCTTCTGGTTATTGTTAGGGGCGACTATGAGAAAAGCTAAAAATATTTTTAAAAAGCTACAGCCTATATTCGTCCCACTGCTGGGCACAGGACTCATCTCATTTTTGAGAGGGTTTTAGGGCAAGGAAATGTCTACCGCGAAGCCCCAATGGGTGTTGACGACTTCACATGTCTTCGAAATATTTTTTCTTATTTCTCCGACATGTAGATTTCCTCGCGATGTTTTCCTTCACAAACACCTCAGTCCGCGACCATGGGTGCTGCGAAGTGCCCGAAACGCAATAAAATCCATAAAATTAGTTTTATTCCATATATATTATAATCATATAGGAACTGCCTTTTTTGACCCTTAGTTAAACATATGAATGAAATTCAAAATTAATTCAAACGTTTCAGTAATGTATGCTGAACTGATAGCTGTTTCAGAATATGCATCGTACATTGCATCACTCACAAATATTACACAATCACAAATATTAGTAGTTAGTTACACAATCACAAATATTGGTTTGTTATTTTGACAGACTTTGAGAGTGCTCTGTAACACTTGGCTCTATGTACCTTGAGTTATAGAGGAATACCGATAGCCTACAGTATTTTGAAGTGTATTGGTAGTTTAACCAAAAAAAAATATAATTGTTGTGTTACAATCGATTCCTGCTCATACTGGCCTAGTAGGTAATAAAGGGGCGGATAGAGTAGCAAAGGAAGCTTCCTCTGTCGGTTTTAACTTATTTTTCAGACCTTTTATACAAAGTAAAAGAAAGATGTGTCAGTTTGTGGAAGGAACACTTTAATGAGAGATCTCTAAAAAAGCAATATCGTATAAAACTATTCAAGGGTGAATCTTGAGAGGCTCAATTTACGCTGTCCGGTAGTCCGAAAAAAGTACCCATAGTATTAAAATTAGAAACCAAATTATTATTTTGCTACTATAATGTGTGATCTAACTGAGGTACGATAGTTTTTGTGTCTAATTTGGTACAAAATAGTTGACCAGCTTCGTGAATATGTTAAAGCAAGGCTTAAGGTAATGATCTTGTGACATTGTTGAATACAAATTTCTTTCCTGTAACTTGATAAACACTTAAATAAATAATTTATAGCCAATTTAGCCATAGAACTTGATTTAATTTAATTTCGGTGTCAATGTTGATAATTATTTGTAACGTATTTACTTATTATTTTATATTATATACACATATAGTAATAATCATTATATACTTTTAAAATATTTTTATATGTATATTTAACTAATAATACCATATTTAAAAATAAAATTACAAGATCATCACATTAAATGTTATCAACATGAAATCTTTGATCCAATAGAGATAAATTGAGAAAATTATGTTTCAGATCCACTTAAAGATGTATTAAAACTCTTCCAATTTTTTCATATCTTTATTTTACCATCAATAACTTCATTTATAGTCCTGACGCCAGCGACCGTTTGGTGTGAGTAATTTCTGAAAAGCTAAAAAAAAATTCGATTCTTTATTTGGTATCATAAATTGACTGTATGGTGAGACGTGGTAGCTCAGGTGCTAAGCGCTCGGTGTAAATTTTACTGGACGCGAGCTGCTCGGGTTCGATCCCCGCCGGCACCAATGAATTGAATACATTGTCTTACCTCATTTACGCAAAATGTCTTATACCTGGACCAGCGTTGGGCAGCAGCGTCACAGGTGCGAGGCGTCTGGTGCTGCGGTCGTCTATCCTCCCTACGACGGGGGAGGCGCGTGTCCAACGGTGGACTTTTACGGACTGATAAAGAAAATACTTTTCTTGTGCGTTTGTAATGATTTTATGTAATGATTCATTTTCTGGCTAAATATTAGTACTAAAATAATTTCTTTCAGTTTAAGTAATTCTCCTGTCACACTCTAAAACTTTCCAATAGCAACATACTTCTTCTTTCCGCAACGTGTGCTTCAACCTCATAATCAACGGCAATGTATTTAATCTCCTAAAATTTTTCCAATACTGGCTTTAAAAGATGGTTGCTTTTAGCCTACTTAGCACGCGTAGCTATCTTTCTGGTTAAACTGATATACACGAGATGAGGCACTCTATAATAGATATTTTATTCCAACCACGGAAGATCTCAACTCCATTTTATTGCTTCCTAATATTGTAATCGACTTTTTATTACTAAGCGGGTAACAAAGGTTAGACACGTCAGCATAAAATAAATATGGCATATCCTCTTAAGGCCCAAAGTCCTTTTTAAAGGAATAAATAATATGTGTATTCAGACCCAGCATCAAATATGGTTACTTCTTCATGCAAGCCCAAGTCCTTTAAAAAGGTTCAATTTTAAAAACACGTTTTTCGAATTCAAATGGACCGCCAAATAAATATTTAACATTCAGGACGAACCTGGAAGACCTATTTAATCTGTTACCGGAAGTCGTAATTATTGGTTCAAAAATTGACGAAGTGACGCCATTTCTTTTTCGACACAATGGCTGACTTTAGGAGACAGAGTGAGTAAATCTTTCTTTATATTTGTGATCAGTGATATCAGCACGGTTTCGTTTACAAAAATATGTGTGGCTATATGTTTTCCGTAATTATATTAACTACTTTTGTCATTTTACTATCTAAAATGATACATTTAATAAAACCAAACTTTTTGATACTTTAAAAAGTACCGCGGGCTTTTACACCAAAAACCCCGTATTATTTTAGACCTATACAAAGGTCTTTGGGTTATTATGTTTAGTTAAGATGAAGTGCACGTTAAAATAATGAGTTAAACTAAAATACTTTTTTTGAAAATTTATATAGTTAGGTAGTACCAAATATTATTGTTGTTTCTAAACAATGTTTAATTAACAAAAAAGAAACTTTTTTTTTTTCAGGAGTAAATGACCAACAAATAGTTGATTTCAGAATTTGAAGATGAAGCAGCTGATATCAATGAAATTGATGATGGGCTGATGGCAGGCATTTCTAGTCTATTATCACGAGATGAAGATTTGTCAGATTCAGTGTCCTCGAGTGTCAAGAGATCAGAATTGGAATCAAGTGATTCAGATTCCCAGTCCGAACTTTTCGACGAAGATATGACTCACAAAAAAAAGGACGAGATCGTGGCATGCGACAAGGTTAAAGGAGCGTCAAGCGTCAAGGGAATCAGGCGATATTTGCGCGGAATTATATCGCGAAGGGTGACCAATAATGTGAACGTACCAGCGTCATCTTCATCTGATGTAAAATATTGTGAGTGGTCCATGAAAAATTTTAATCCGCTTGTTATTTCGCGTATAGAACCGTCATATCTACCGATTGATGCAGATTCATTTACCGATAAATTTGATTACTTTAAGCTCAGTATTGATGACGAATTAATGAAGTTAATAGTATTGAAAACTAATCAATCTTTCTTAGCATAATGTGTCAAGTGCCTTGGTCTCACTACCAATGAATTGATATATATATACATATATATATATATATATATATACATATATATACATATATATATATATTAGCATAACTTTAGCCATGTCATGCATTCAGTATCAGTTAAAAATGTACTGGCAATATCAATTTAGGGTTGCTATATTAGCAGGTAATATGGCCAGAAATAGATTGTTTTTCTGCGCAATTGTACAAAGCTTGTTTTTGATGATGAAATTCCACGCCACGAAAAACATAAAGATCGTCTATGGAAAGTGAGGCCACTGATATCTAAAATTCAAAATACCTGCAGAGCATTGGAAAAGGTACCCAGATAGGTATTGATGAAATGATAATTCCTTTCTCTGGAAATTGTGGCATTAAACAATATTGTCCAGGAAAGCCTAACCCTACTGGACTGAAAGCATTTGTTTTGGCAAATCCTGATGGCACAATATGCGACTTTTGCAAATGCTTTTTCTTGTGAAGAGCATTATTATGTAAATCTGTAATAAATGTTGATTTTCTTCATAAAAATTGTATTTTTATTTATAACATTGCAACCCAAAGTCCTACAGATAGTGTCAATTTTTGGTACCTACTTATCTAATATTAACCCAAAGGCCTTTACAAAGAACCAAAGATATGAGGTCTATGCTTTACAAATGTGTCCTTTGGTAAGTTATAAATACACTAATAAACTATATTTAAAATAAAAACTGCAACAAAAGAAAACATAGCGTCTTTTTGTTTGGGTCTGAACATCAATAAAATTTGATACTTTTAAAAGGACCATTGGGTCGTAATCTAAACTAAGCAAAAATTTTCTTGGGCATTACGAGGATATAAGAAAATTTTGCATTAGTATTTGTTAGTATTTTTGCATGAACGTAAAAAATACGTATGTAATGTTAACACTGACTACGTGTGGAGTACCCTAGGTCTAAAAATTTTGTTTGTCATACGCGATATACACGCAAACATATAGGTATACCTATATATATAACGCGTGTCCTGCCGCGCTGCCATATAGGTTATTTGTGTGTGTAAAATTGTAGGACTTAGTCTACTCCACACATTTTCAGTGATAATTACCATTACCTAATTTTTTAAACCACCATACCATATGGTATTATACAACATTTGTTAACCTATTTATCTAGGTATAAAACAACATAATATAATTTGTGTATTGAAAATTATACGTCACGTAATCTGTAGTGACTGTTACGAGCTTAGGGTTTGTGACAATGAAAACTGCCGATTGAATTACCAAAATTGACACTAATTACTGAACGTCAATTAAAACTTAAATCACACTAATAATTAATCACACTTAACACTTTAGTCCACTTTATTTCGCTCCGAAAGCTTCGCTCGTATCGTGTAATACCTACCACGTTCAAAGACATTTTTTGTATTATCATATATCTATAAGCATATTACCGTGACATTTTACCACTCAAATATTTCTTGTAAACGGATTAGTAAGATTAAAAAATTTGTCTCATTAAGCACGTAACGTTTACATCAAATAAATTTTAAAAGAGGATAATCCCATAATTTACCGCCAGTTTTGTGGAAATCCACCAAAGATATTAGAAACGACAGGTGTCTCTCACCTGACATGATTTAATAAAGCCACTTAAAACTTTTCTATCCTATTGTAATAGCGTACAGTTCAATAAAGATATTTTCACGTTTTTAAATATTATTCATAATTTCATAATAAAGACATAATTTTTACGCACAATTTATGTTGATTTAAAAAAAAACTAAAGTACCAATTATCAAGCGATAAATATGATAATGATATTCTGACCGCTTCTTTGTAAAAAGATACAAAACCATTTTAGAAACTCGACATAATAAGTTTTGGACTTTGTAGAAAATTACTTGGTTACGGTTGGTAGATACTATTTACATAATTTTTAACTACATTACCGTGTAGTGACGGTGCAAGAATACCCGCTACCCCATATCATCCCGTGGGTGTCGTAAAGGCGACAGGAAACAAATCAGCAGATGGGCAGCAGCGTCTTCCTAGTAACGACTAAAAATAAAAAACTGCGTGGCAAATATGGCAAATATCCCACCTATGAGGCAATCTGTGCGGGAGGCCTACGTTCATCAAAACATAAACATAAACACTCACGCCTATCACCCAGAGGGGTAGGCAGAGACTACAGACTTCCATTTAGCACGATCCTGACATACCTTTCTCGCCTCTTCCGCATCCATATCCATACTTCATCCATTTTATCATTCATTGCCCCACATACATTCAACGTAGCCAGACGGGCCTCTGCAATCCACTTTTCGCCTCTCTGGGAGACAGAACGTGACGGGTGGCGAACCTCGTCGCCGGTTTTCCTCCCGGAGATTCTTCGCACCCCTGCCCCATTAAAGGGGCGCCGGGAACTCGGGGCCATTTCTTTTACTATTTGCCTCATGGTGCGAAAACTAGGGCGTGGCATATTTTACGCCGCTACCACACGGCGAGTAGCCGAGTCTGTTCTTTCGGCTTTGTCGCTCTTTTAGCACCACCCGGAGAAACGTGTATGGTGGGCCTAGGATTAGGTGGTCGAAGCCTACGGACGCGAGCGACTTATCCCCCTCGTTCATCGTTCACGTTCATCAGTGGACTTTAATAAGCTGTAACGATATTCGTATTCATTTAACAAAATGGGGCGTTGCAGAGGGCAACATTGCGCTGTATGAAACGTCACGGGGTAGTATTAGACATTTAATGGAATTTCCCTTTAAAATATTACAATGCCGAAATACAATTTTTATTATGAGTGGCCCTGCAAATCTGCCGTTTTTTTTTTACGTTAACGTTTTAAAGACCTATTAATTCCCCTATTAATCCGCCTCTAAGATTTTCTTTTGTATCCTGGAAGCATTTTACATACAAAGAAATATTGTTTTGTTGATGTTGCCTATATGTATATCTACGGCTAGTAGATGGCGATATAACCATCCCTTTTTATATCAAGCTCCCAGCGCGATGCTGTGAACGCCAATTTGCCGTCCAGGAGACGCGATAATAGCATGTCATCCCTCTTATGGAAGAGGTGGTGTATGTTCATCATTGTACTATTAACGATTTAACCATAGGATAATACAGGTCAATAATTAAACTGAGAAATAAAGTGATCAACATACTTATTTCGGTAGATATCGTAAATGTTTAGGTAACCCACGATAGAGAATTTAGGCTAATATGTCACATCACCTCACTGATTGCTTAGGTGTTTATATACGTAATATTATATCGGTATATATAGACTGCCTCATTGGTATAGTAGTTGTAGTAGTGCGACTGCTAATCATGAGGTTCTGGGTTCGAATCCCGGGTAGGAAAAAATTAATTATTGAGTTTTTCCGTCAAGAAATTCTTAGTAGTTTCCCGGAGTCAGGAAGTTGGTGGTGTCTCACCCCCGTGGCTCGGAAAGCACGTAAAGCCGTTGGTCCTGCGCCTGATCTCTCTCCGGTCGTATCGGTTTACCGTCCCATCGAATTATGAAAGTGAGAGAATAGAGAGTGCACATGTGCTTGCGCATACACTTGGGCACTATAATCCTGTCCTGCGCCAATGGCTAGTCTCCGTATTCAGGAAAGCCGCCGTGGCCGAAATTCGGTCTGGAGGACATTATTATTATTATATCGGTATAATTGTATCATCGGAGTATCACACATATTAAAAATGAGACTATTATGGTAATATTATATCTTATGTTTATACATTTCTTATTAACATTTCTTAGTAACATAGTTAACATGTATATAAAGAAGGATTTTTCAAAAAAGTAGTAAGAAAAAATTTTGTAGTTAAAAAAACTCATAGAAACAACCACACATTTGTAATAAAATAATTTTACAGAATTTATAGCGTTTAATTTTATATTTTTAATTATAATGTTTTGGGCACCTTACAGCACCAATAGTCATCGGGTAGATCGGGTAGAGAGAACAAGTTTACAGTATCTTGAAGCCTTGCAGTAATGTGCCTGGTTTTCGATTTAATGTTATTAATTATGGGATCCCAATGTAGCCCAGCCCTCCCAACCGTCATCTTTATTGCAATAAGGATGTTTTTTTTAATTTCTATACCCTCGCGAATCATTCGTGGTAGGAATTTGAGTTCCCTTACGAGTAATTTGCGGTCCATCAAATCTGATATAATATTTTGGACGAACCTGAACATGTTGATCTACTGCAGGTGTTTCAAATCAGCGATATGTTCTTTTACGCTGGTTTTTGTGGATCTAATTCTTTGTCCTGTGAAAGAGAGACTACATTCTATTTGTAAATTTGTTTAATTTGTTAAATTTCATATATAGTATTCGCGTAAATATAAAAAATCATTCAACGATGCTTAAATTGTACAAGTTATACAAAAAACTTGCAATTATCTTGAATTCTATTGTATATAATTTACTTGCTTTTACACTAATGTTGGCTTACGAGCAAACAGTCCAGCAGACAAGTGGGTGCACTGGCTAAACACCTGTCCTCAATTAAGTATCGAAATGCAGATACTTTGTTGCCCCTAAGGACTAAGGCGGAAAACCACGTTAACAGTAAAAAGGATCTTCAAATCTTGCCGCTTACCATTACAATCATATTAGTATCATGTTGACATTTTACGCCGATATTCAGTGCGAGCGTAGTGTCTCTACAGTTGAACCGACCCCTTCATATTAAAACCATAATTCAACTGCTGTGTTACAGTTCACCACGTATTATTGGTATCTTTCCTGATAAACTTAAATTTTCCTTGATTAAGCCTTTATTCAAAAAAGACAAAAAATCAATTTTGAACAATTACCGCCCTATTGCGCTCGTGCCAATTTTGTCAAAAGTATATGAAAAAATTATGCATACTAAACTCACATCGTTCTTTGACAAGTATCATGTCCTGAATCCCACTCAGTATGGGTTCCAGAGGGGAAAATCTACTACACATGCTGTTTTCGATATGGTAAAT